CACCATCCATGCCACAACCCACTCAAGCAAGCCCTGGGTCTTTTTGAGTGGCTTGGGCCCACCTAGGCTTGTAGCGTGGTTGGATGCGAGATAATGGCATTGCATGTTGTTTGACATATTTTAATTTATCGCCCTTGGGAAGAATTGTTTTAATCTTAGCATGAGTTAATCATATTTTATCGCGAATCATAGCATGATAATTTGTTTGTTTAGCGTGGCATGTGGATTATAACTCGCATGCGATAGATCCTTTTTTTTTCCTTTTCCCTCGTGGAAATATTGTATTGGGCTGATAGTTGCTTGGGCCCGATCCATGGATTTTTTGGGCCTCAACATTAGCCCCCTTAATTATAAGGGCCATGAACAGGTGCTGGAATGGGCCGAATAATTAAAACCCAACCCAAAAAAATCAGATTTGTATTTGCATAGGACTCTGCTTCTTCCCGCGTGCAAAATGACGGCGTGCCATGATTGGTCCCGGTGGTTATTTGCAGTTGCCAACGCCAACTGCCTTCCTTTCCTTATTTTATTATTTTCCTCCCTTTTCTTTCTCTTTTCTTGCACCAGACATCAACCTTTAAAATTTCCTTCTCCTTTTCACGCTCCAGACCAAAACTTCCTCTAGCTCTCCTCCCTTCGTTCTTCTTTGCTTCTCCACGAATTCAAATATAATGAAGGAGTGAAGTCAGGCCAAAATTATTTTCCTCCAGCCGCTCGCCAGCCGCTGGTAATAAGACCCAAGTCTAACCCACCCCCGTCGTTCCATCTTCGTTCCAAAGGAGCCCGTTCATCGCTGCTGGAAAGGTCCTCTTTTGTGCGAATTTTGCCTTCAAATCCCTGATTTTCTTCTCTTTTTGGTGCATTCGACGTCATCCCTTGGAAAATTTAACAAGGTACCCTCTTTTTTCCAGTTTTCCCTTAGATTGATTGGAGAATTTGTTGGGTTTCTCATACCCATAGATGCTGCCTTTTGTTTTGGCAGCCAAATACCAAAACCCCCCTTTTTACTTATCTTGTTTCCGCT